TGAGTCAGAGAAAGATTAGATTTATTCTAGGTTTAGAATAGGGCAAAAGCCATCTGAGCTGACAAAATCAAATATTTCCCCTGAAGTAGTCAGAGGGATGTTCAGATTAAAAAGGAAAAGTTATCAGAATGAGGACGGACCCTGTGTCTCCATCCCAAACCTGGGATAAGCACTGACAAAGGAGTTGCAGGAAAGAGATGGGAGACAGAGCTGCATCTTCTTGCAGCACAAACATCTCTATCAAGTTAGGTGATTAAGGTTTGCAATTGCAAACAATAAATAAGCAAGAAAAAAAAAGTCAGGCTATATTTTCTTATAGGTCAAATTTGCAGCCTTGTTGGAAATATTTGTCAGGCTCGAGAGGGCTCTAAGCACTCTGACAGAGCTGTAGGTGTCCCCGTTCATTGCAGGGGAACTGGACTAGATGACTTTTAAAGGTCCCTTTCAACTCAAACGATTCTATGATTCAATGATTCCGTATTGCCAATGATTCTATATTACCACTTCCAGTTCTGTATAATCCTCAATTAAGTCCCCTTCTCATGGAGCTCCACTGAGACTCATGGCTCGCAGATCTCTACATAGAGCCACTCCAAATGTTGGAGTGGGTTGGAAGGTGTCAGGTGTGAGAGTATCTCAACCCCCACTTCAGCTCCTCAGCATCATTTCAGCTGGGACCAGGCTCTAAGCATCTGATCTAGCTGTATATGTCCCTGTTGATTGCAAGGGAGTTGGACTAGGTGACCTTTAAAGATCCCTTCCAACTCAAATGGTTCTGTGGTTCTGTGACTTCTCCTGGTAGGAAAGCAGCAGCCCACAGAAAGGATCGGCTGTTCTTATCCTGAAGAATGGAATAGAGCATAATGAGCTTCAGCATTACCATTTGTGCTGCAAAATCCTTTCCTCAGCCTGCAATGTCAAAGACTTGCCCCAGCTCTGGCCTTTTGCTCGCACCAAACAACCCTTGGCGACTCACCGCTCTCCGTGCACAGGGCAACGACGAGCACGACAAGAAGAGAAGCCTTCATCCTTTATAGTTCTCGCAGCCTCCAAAATAAGCAGAGCGCACGCAGGGCAGTTTTTATACCTCTGCAGTGTTTGCTTTTGTGCTAGGATAATAACTATGGTGTTGCAGTGTGTCAGATGATGAGTGATTGAGAGTAACGTGTCAGTGCTTGTATGGGGAAATATGCTTTGTTGGAAATCTAAACAAGCGTATGTTCTCTCCTACCCCCCCCCCCCCTCCCCAGTTCTTTTCTGAGTTATTTCACAATCTGGTTTACTCATCTGGTACCAAGTATGCAACAGTTTCTAATTCTGGATAAGTGGAGGAAGAGCAGCACACAAAAACAAAACAGAGTCCATGTGAGAAGAGAGCGCTCGCCTTTCCAGGCTCTCAGCAAAGGCTGCATCCTCCAGGATCCCATCCTCACACACTGTTTTAATGCATATGGAAATGTATTGAATTTGAAATTGAAATTGGGATTGAAACGTCTTCAAAATGTCTCTCAGGATTCTCAATACAGCTAGATCACAAGAGCAATCTCCTTCCACTGCATTTCATAGGGGACCAGATATAATTTTCTGTGAGTCTTTTCAATACTGCTGTTCAAAATCCTAAACGTTTCTGTTCAAAAAAGTGGATATTTTATATGAGGGAAGATATTCTCTTATTGGAAAATAAATTCCACTAGGCAATGAAAATGACCACCTAAATTAGAAAATAAAAATAACATCCACCCCCATCACATTGAGCAAGCTGTGAATTTTCTCACGAATTGCAAAAAAACAAATGTCAGGGAGAAAAAAAACAAAAGCAGACAAAACACTGAAATCATGGAGAGTGAGGGGCTGCCTGATCAATGTTCTCAACTCATTAAGTCTTCAGAAAAAAAGAGTGATAGCCAACCAGTATTATTCTAAACGCCTGACAGAAATACTCCCTTGGGTTTCTATACGCTGCTCTTTATTCCTCCATTTTTACCACGTTTCAACCTCTCTCCCTGTACAAAATCAGATCATTCTTCATTTTCTTCTCATCTCTGTTGCCTTTTCCTCCCACTGTTGTCTTTCTGCCATCTAACCATTGGGATGGAGGCACAGTCCCAAAAATGATCCAGCTGGGTCCTTTGCACGTGACACTGAGAGCAACCTGTGTGCCCCAGGCTTCTGTCAGGGACTCTGCCCCTTGCTGCTCTCCATCTGTTGTATTTTCTTTTTTTCTTGGTCTCAAAACTGCTTAGATTTCCACCTCCCACTAGATAGTTGAGCTTCCAGTAGGACCCACCTCCAATCATTATCTCATTGGAAAGGCATGTCCAGTTCTTCAGGTGTTGTAAGTCTTTCCAGTGTCTTGTAAATTGAATGTAGAAATATTCCTAGTATGGAAACTTACGTGACTAAGGTGAGGAAATTTCTGCTTTCTCAATCGGTAGGGCATGAAACTCAGCTGGAACAGAGGCAGCAATTAACCAAGAAAGCTCAAAGGAGGAGTGTTGTTTGGCCTTGGAAAGCCAATGCCTTCGTAATGTACCAGGCAGGAAGAAAATAGAAGCTTGCACCCTTTATACCAGGGACTGCAGCTCTCTTTTCCTTGAAATAGTTTGTTATCTCCAATCCAGAAGAGATTTCATACATCTTTATTGGCAAATGAACTTTTACTGCAGACTATTCGAGGTAACAGCAGAGAAGGGTGCTCCAGCCACCAGGCAATGTCATTCTGCAGCCTGTACATTGCACTGCAGAGGCAGCCCACATTCAGTTTTATTTCAGCCAGCAGCATCCATTAACAGGTACAGAAATAGCAGATCTGCCAGGCACTTTTTTTCTTCCCTCCCTTGTAGTTTCATCTAAGCAAAAACCAAAATATGTCTTGTCTCCTGCAAGCTGCTGAGATCTGGAGATGGAGAGAATGTATTTTTTAAAGAGGTACTGCAGGGTTTTTGTATGCTCCTGTAACTGGCCCCATGTGCGTCTCTGATGTTAATGCTATCTTCAACTCTTATCAATACCAGGTGAAATAGATTGAAAAGAATCCAAGCGGATAGAAAGAGGTCACCAGATGGACCCAGGCAAACGAGAAGAGAATATTACAGCTTACAAGGGGTTAGATGTTATGAAATTCCAGAACATTTTGGAAAGAGAAACAAGGGATTTAAATGAGAGTGAGGGGGATGTGTCTTTTGCTTGTCTTGTTTTACTTATCTTGTTCTAAATCTAGTTGAGGTCGCCTCAGGAGAAGGATGAATAATTTCTTTATTTTGGTGAAAACATTTATTTTTTCATGAAATGAAAGATGAATTTTAAAGTTAATCATGGTGCCTAATTCAAATGTTGTTTATAGATTTTCCAGTTGGCCCAAAGCCTTAAGAATAATTTCAGAAATGAATGCGGTTAGTATACAGGAAAAGTGATGGTGAAAGCAATTAAAGAGAAGCACAAAAGCCAAGTTTCTTTTTCTCTTTCCAAAAAGAAATGCCACAACATTTCAGCTGGTCCATCTCATATTCCAAGGAATGCCACGACACCCTCGTTGCCCAGAAAATAAATCTTTACAGAGTGACTAAGCCTTTCACAGCCTTCAGCCAGCACTGTGGTTTCTCACTGTGCTGTAGAAGTTCATGCCCTTAGCAGTTTGCCTCGAGCACTGATGGAGCAGAACTCCCTAACCCAGCTGGGCTGCAAACAGGAGTTTTTTCCAGGTGTTACTTTTACTTAAGCTTTCCTAAAATGTAGCTCCTGCATGGTGTTCCACCAGGAATTATGCACCTTCTTGCTCCAGGAATGCAGGTCCTTTGACCATCTCCATTATCTTAGAGCTTTGCTCTCCAAGAACTCTTCTGGGATCTCCATCTCTCTCATTCCCAAGCCTCAAAATACAGCAGTGAAAGAGATCACACCATCTGATCAGGCATCACCACCTCTCCAAGCTCTTTCTGCCCAATTCACATCCCGTTGTCATGAGCAATCATTTAGAATCATAGAATCATGAAGGCTGCACAAGACCTCTAGGATTATCAAGTCCAATCTTCAACCCATTCCCATCATGTCCACTATACCATGTGCCTCAGTGCCACATCTCCATGTTTCTGGAAAACCCCCAGGGGTGGTGACTCCAGTATTTCTCTGGGCAGCCCGTGCCAATATCTCACCATGCTTTCAGAGGAGAAATTTTTCCTAAAGTACCCAACCATCATCTTCTCCAAGCTGGCACAGAGGCCACCTCTCAATGAGGAGAACTCTAAAGCACTGTCCTTATCTTGAACATCCCCAGCATCTTGAGAAAGTACTTAGACCCATTTAAGAGGTGAAATCATCCACATTGCAGCGATCACATGAAGACTTCTTAGCACTGCCAAGAGTGCAACTTGCCAAGCCCCCACTCCCAAGTGCCTGTAGGCACAAAGCAGTTCTCTCTGCAGCTACAAGTGCCAGCCTGCAGTGGGAACAACACAAATGGCTTTGACCTTTCCACATTGACACCTTCATTCATCAGCTCTGAGTGATCAGGCAGAACATGTGGCTTTATGGAGTGTCTTTCTTGAGCTGCTGGATGCAATTGAGTCAATGAAGAAAGGCAGCCAAGAGAGTACTCCCAGACACTAAAAAAATAAAAGGAATTTGATGTGATGTAGAGATTCAAGCTGCAGCCCTTTCTGGCAGAGCTGTTTTCTCAGGCTGAGCTTAGTGTGGATATATCAAACACACTCTAGAATAACATAAATCTTTATTTTGTCTGACAATTGTCACATATGTGCAAACAAAATAGCTTTCTCAGGGAAAATTAGTACAAAACAATCAGGGGAAAAAAAAAAAAAAAAAAAAAGGAGCTATACTGCCATGCCATTTTGTGGGTCAGATCTGAAAAAGAAGTGTTGGAAAAAAAGCAGAATAGCATAGACCTTGATGGAGACACTTGACAAAAGACGTTGTTTAATCTATTTGGCAAGAGCATATGTAGGCCTTTGGGTCATCACATCTTCTCCCACCCTCAACCCTCATCACAGTCCTGCCCTAATGACGCAGATCAAACTGGCGACCGTTCCCAGGAACATCACAGCATAGCTCAATTTCACACTGTTGGCACCACTGAAATTGCACAGGGAGGTCTTGCAGCACTTGGTGGCAATGGCCACGATGCCAAAGTCTGTGTTGGTCTCAGGACAGTCTGCAGAACATTTCTTGGTTATGCGATATCCCATGTCTTTGCCTGGATGAAAAACAGACAAGAAAGGAGAGCTGTGAAGTAAGATTCCCCTGCAAGTCCTGACCAGAGGAAAATGGGAGGAGTATAATGCTCTGCATTTAACTTGCAGTGCAGGAATATCAGAGATCAGCAGATTTGATGAGTACTGGGTGAGAGTTCACACAACCTGGCTCAAGTGCACAACACTAGAAAGACCTTGATAGAAATCCATGCCATGCTTCATGCAGGACAGCAAAAAATCACTGTCAACACATATTTGATTTCTAAAACTACATTCCTTATGACTAACCCCTTTCCATCCTATGTCACAAAGCATGGGTATGAGCTTCCAGATCATGAGGTCTGCTCATGAAAATACCTGTGTTCCACATCATATGATGTGAGCCTCAAGCCTTTGTGATCAACTCTTTCCAATAAGAGCAACTACTGCCCTGAAGAAGTAATTGCCCATCGCTGTCCTTGGAGATAAAAGACATAGTTCTTGAGGTGTTACTAGTACTCACCAAGATCAGCAGCACTGTATGTGGTTGTACAGTATTTCTCGTGGTCTTCACACTTGTAGGTTTTAAGACAGTTCCAGTTGGAGTGCTCATTTTCGCATACGTAGCAAAACAAGGAGGAAGCTGAATAGAGCATACATGACACACATCAGTGGTTTTAGCAATGCCCTCCTGGGAAGAAAGTGTCAAAAGCTACGTCCTTTATTGGAAAATAAAAAGTACGTGTTACAAATGCTTCTTCACGGCAAGTGAAATAAGAGGTTGGTTTTGATTAATGAAGCTGAAAAGGCAAGCAAACAGAAGAAAACAAGTTTTCTCTCTTTACTTTAGATTTTTGGTGATTAAATCCGAAAACACATTTTTCAGCCTCAGCAGTGCTCTGCTGTGACTTTTCCTGCAGACTAAGCTCCATCTCTCCCATGTTTTATGCTGGTCTGGTTGGCATCCAATCTGCAGAAGGAGAAGTCAGTACAGTTTAGCATAGCACAGTTTGGGCAAGGAGAGGATAAACTGGTGCCATTCTCAGCTGAGAGCTTAGGGTTTTTTTTAGTATTTTCAGAGTGCATCTGCAAAACATTGTACAGGCACGAATTAATTAAAGCCTATGATACCTCTGTGGGCTAAATTACTAAGCAGAGTCACGTTAAAGGGAGTTCCCTGGGAGAGGTTGCTCTGAACAATGGAGCGATTATTTCTACCATTGCCTCGAACAGCACGTCCTCGGTGACATTATAAACAGGTCTCAGCAAGGGCTATTACAAAGACAGGAGGTGGAAGGATATCTATTTCTGAACAAAACTGTTGTGAATTGATTCAAATTTCCAAGCTTGACACCTGGCCAAGCAAGAAACACAGGCACGTGCCATTGCGTTCCCTGGAGGTTGGTTCGCAATTGCTGGGAGTGGAAAAATGGTTCCCATCCTGTTCAGAGTCCCATGACATTTTCCTTACATTTCTGGTCAGAGGCGTAGGAGGCAGTCAAACAGTTATCAAAGACAGCCTGCTCCACTGCCACCAATGGTTAGAATTACAGAATCGTAGAAAAGTTGGAAAAGGCCACTAAGATCATCAAATCCAATCACCAACCCTTCCTCACCATGTCCACTAAACCATGCCACTCAGTCCCACATCTCCCCTTTTCTTGAACACCTCCAGAATGGTGACCACAAGAACCTGCACAGCAAAACCTCAATGATTGAGGGTTCCTAATCAAAGGTGATGAACTGCCAACTCAGAGAGGGTTTTCATTTAGATAAACATTTCCTTACTTCAGCTCTTTTTGGCTTTTTCACGTCCTTATTTCTGCACAGAGCAGCTCCTTTCAATTGATTTTGAACCTGTTTTTTGTAATCTCCTTCCACTATTCTCTGAAGCCCACTTACTCAGTTGATTCTATCAACATCCCTAAATTTGAACCTGCCCATAACATTTGGTTAGACAACTCCAGAAGCAACTATAAAAGAGAAAAAAAGCCATTTTATGCCCTAACTCCCTCAGGTAAGAGAAGAAAAAGCTACTTTCTTTGCTGCACAGAGCTCAGGTGCCTTGCATACAGATCTGGAGCTTGGAACCTCACCAAACAACCAATCACCTTATTCTGAAACCAATCCAGGTGCTCTTTCAACTTCCTTTTAAATTGACACATCAACACTGAGTGTTTCTCTGTCATTTGGATGAAGCCTCCCACCTTCCTCTCTGGAGGTCCCCTGACTCAGGCTGTGGATTGATATCCTTTGTATACCATGCAATAGCAATTCCAGACTTTCTGTTTGACCCATATGTTACCAGATTTTTCACTCCATGTAGTCCTCCTTGATCTGTTCCTCTGATAAATCACACATAGCTATTCAAAAACAATTCCTTCAGAGCTGAGATTCCAGTGCATGTGCAAAAGCAACTGAAATGCACTCATGCTTTCACTAATGTAAGACAGGAAACCACTTAAAACACTGTAGTTGTTGTGAAGTCTTGCCTATGTTTGGCCTCCACCCTCCATTAGCTCTAGTTTTGCAAATGCAGACAGAAATAGCCTTAGCAGTGCAAAAAGGCTTGAAGTACTCCTTGGGATTATAAACATGCAGGGAGAGCAACTGTTGTTGTTGTTGTGGGGTTTTTTTTTTGTTATCTCAAGACAGTTATCAAGTCATATTTGTATCTGCTTTTGAAAGAGGCCAAGCACAACATATTGTGGATCCCATTACAAATACGCTCACTGTGAGGCATTTAAGAAAGCTCATCAAAGCTGTGAACAAAGAGCTCTTGGGTTTTCAAATATCTGCCAGCAACCCAGTTTCTTAATTGCAGTGCCATTGTGGGAAATAAAGTGAAACACTGGCAGAAGATGAAGCCTCAACATTAGCCCAGTTATCTTTATCAGCAACTCCAGCAGTTTCATTCAGGAAGAAAAAGAAAACTGAAGGCAAAACTGTGAGCCCAGCTTAACTCATAGAATCATAGAATATTTCGAGTTGGAAGGGGCCCACAAGGATCATTGAGTCCAATTTCTGGCTCTGCATAGGACCACCCAAAAATCAAACCCTACGCTGAGAGCATTGTCCAAAAACTCTCACAGGCTCGATGGTCTCCTCAACTCTTAGCATTTTTCAGTTCACGTATGTATCTTCAGATGCTCAGAGCACAGTACTCAAGAGTGAGGGAAACACAAGTGGTGAGCTCATCTTCTGTGAGGTATGAGCACCTTGGTAGAGCTCAAGCAGAGGCTAAGACTCAGCCTCACTAAATATTGTTTGAAGTAAGGAATACCAAAGAAAAAAGTGCACTACCAAGACTTCAGAAATTGCAGCAAAAGCAGTCAAATCCTCTTGTTCTTGTATTATCTCTAACTTCTCTTCTGGCATTTCCATCCTCTCCACCTGGCTGCCCCAGCCTCTGTACCACCTTACCTTGCTCGGCACACAGGACTGCCACCAGCAGGGCAACAAGCAAAGCCTTCATGATTGTTGTACCCTCAGAGCCCGCACGGTGTGGGATGATGCACCATCGAAAGGTTTTATACTGGGACTGTGTTTGCTTTGACTTCATCTGATTGCATCAAATTGAAGTTTTGGGGAGTGACAGCCCATAATGTGGAATCAGCGCTGGGTGTGTTTGTGCGTAGGAAATAACCCATCACGCACAGCAATTTCTTCTACCTCTCACTCAGATCCAATCTGTTATTCCAACATCTGCAGGGCTAATTGGAGGAACAATTTATGATTCAGACATGGGAGTCCCTTCTTACTCTATAGGGTTGAGCCACAAAACTTAGAGCAAGGCTGAGGCATCCATGCCAGTCTGGTGTGGCTCACTGCTTTCATGATAGGAATCATCTGGCATCCTCCATCCATGGTAGGACAGCTTCATATCTGTCATAATGAAAGTGGGAGAATAGGTAAATAATGGAATTTTCACTGGCTTGCCCAGAGTCCTTCAGAATTAACACACTTGTACCGAGAAAAGTACTTTAAGCAGAAAAACACCAACACCGTACTGTAGCATTCCCACAGTACAACTATTTGTGCCTGGAGACTGTCACTGAGGTTCTCAAGGGCCCAAGCAGGAATGAGGTCCAATGCCTTTGTTTGCTCTGCTTCTCTGCCCTCCAGAAACATTTGGGGTTTCCAAGCGACAATGCTTGTTGTTATGTGTGCATTTTATCAGGTTTTTCCAGTCCTTGGTGACCTCCTCAGTCCATCCAGGCTCCCTCCCCCTGCTCTCATAATCACACTGTCACCTCTTGCCACATAGCTTAGGATGCAGCAGAGACAAAAGAGAATGGGAACAGCTGTGGGAGTTAAATTGGGAATGATCAGAAATGAAAATAAGAAAGAAATGAAATACGTGCTGATCAAGAGGAGATCTCATTAGACCAGGAGCTTTCAGAGAGAGAAAAGACCAAGTGGAGTTCAGAAGCAAGACAGATTTGCTTCTGGGGTTTAGGAACATGGTTTATTGGGTAATATTGGTAGGTAGACAGTGGGCAGTGGAATAGATGGCCTTAGAGGTCTTTTCCAACCCTAATGATTCTATGATTCTAAGATTTAAAAGTCATGGAGAGTGTGGAAACAGAATGAAAAGAATCCAATTGTTTTTTCTTTTCCCTACATTGCTCCCCAACATCTTGGTTCACAGTCTATATGTTCAGGATCCTATGTAGATTGCATCTTGGTTTGTCTTTTGTTTCCAGTCCTTCTTTTGTACAATTCCTCATTCCTTCAAACCCTGGTGCTATCTCTCTTTGCTTTGCCTGTAGCAGGATGGAAGCATCCTATTTTCAGAGTCTTCCATTCTTCTTTCTAGATTTGCCCTGACCTTGAACATGAATCTTTAATCATCTCTTCTTTTAGCAAGGTTGTGTGAGTCCCACATGACTGCTAATGCAGCAGTGATACTTAGGAAATAATCTGCAAAAAAGCCATACTCTCTGCACCAGACATTGTACAAATACATGCATGAATGCTATCAGGAAGGAAATAGGATCTGCTGGAGAGTTAGGGGGAGAAAGGATAAGTATTAGTCCACACGTTTGTTTTCCTTACAATGTCCAGCCTCCAGCTGGCAAGCAGTGAAATAGAAAGTAAAAACTTTCCATCCACACTGAAAATCCAGAAAAGAAATCAAAAGAAAGAAAATAAATTGAATTATTGTTCTTAATCCAGCCTGTCTTGGAGCCAACTAAGCAGAGAAATGCTTGTCCTCAACAGGAGGAAAGGAGCAATGCATGAACACAGACCATAACAAGAAAGGAGAAAGGCTTTGAAATTAAAACAAATAAATGAGCAGTAAATAAATGACACTGTTAAAGCACAGTGCAGCAGAACAGAAAATCTACAAGTGAGAAATGGGCTGTAGGAAGTAGAAATGTAGGAAAGCATTTAAATAGATTAGAGAGAGGGAAGGCTAATAATAATAAACAAGATTAATATTTCAACCAGAACTGGAAAGAGAGAGAGAGTTGAAAAATATTGTTACAAAGCAAAAATAAATCAAATTGAACAGACAAAGCTCTAATGGGGAAATAATTAAAGACGGTCAGAAGGAATGGGATGGGAGGGAAGGATTGGTCCTTCACTTTGTCCCCTATGGTGGCATTACTTAATCACTGTGCACAGTGCACATGTTTCGTGCAGATGCTGCTTAGGTATTAACCACATCACTTTAGGTCTGAGGAGCATTTTCTATAGCTCCACAAATTTCAGCTGTAATCCGGTAAAGCCTGGGTGCAGAAGGCAACTAGAGCATCACCTAGCCCCTACCCCTGTATCCTGAAGGAGAAAACTGCAAAAGCTTTCAGACCCAGACCAGGTTCTGGCCATGTCTCAAACTGCTTTTTTCTTGCATGGTGTTGCTATTGCAGTCACGCTCAGGGCCACTGCCAGGGCTCTGGGCTCCCACCAATACCACCAAAAGGGGCCAAGTATGTCTTGAAGCTCAGTTTTTAAAGCAAGGAGAGGAAAATGCTAGGGGGGGGGGAAAAAAAAGGTAGGAGACAAAGGGGACGGGGTGGGGGGGAGCAGAAGGTGGGCGAGGAGGTCGCCAACCTGATGGTACCATGGAGGGTGTAAAAAACTAACAGAGCCTCAGAGTTTTAAGGAAGAAACTTTAACCCACTTAGTGTTTGGCAGTGGTCAGCACATGTGTTTGTGCCAGACCTTGGGAGCACATTGTGCAAAGCTTGTCCCCTTTTATGTAACTGCAAATAGACAAAGAGTGTTCTCAATGCACGATGGAGCGGATATATGTTACAAAAGTCAAGGTCCAAGAAAGTTTCACTGTCAGTTCCCTCCGATTCATCCGTTTTTTCTTTCTGGAGGATGGCTCCAATCACAGAAATTCTTCATTTCAGCTCACGGTTGCAAACTGCAGAATGTGGGAGAGAAAAGATCGTGGGACAATAAGAAAAGGAACAAGTTATGAGCTGTGCTCATGATCTGCCTGAATCATGCAGCTGGAGCATGCAGGGCAAGCAGTCCAGCTCAGCCCCAGATAGAATCAGGCTGGTCAGGTTTTGTCCTCTCCTCCCTCCTTGCTGGGTCAGGGAAGGCTCCATATTTCATTGCAGTGGCAACAGTTAAGTGTAGAGGCATCTGACTGGTAGAATCAAAGAATCATTAGTGTTGGAAAATACCACTTAGACTGTCAGGTCCAACTATTGACCCTTCACCATCACGAGCATTAAACCATGTAGTCAAGTGCCACATCTCCTTGGTTTTTGAACGTCTCCAGGGATGGGGACTCCACCACTTCTCTGGACAGCCTTCCCAGTGCACTGTCACTCCTTTGGGAAAGCATTTTTCCTGACATCCAGCATGAACCCCTCCTGGTGGACTTTAAGGCCATTACCTCTCATTCTAGCTCCAAACAGAATAAGTAGGCTCCAAACAGGACAGAGCTCCTTAAGGCAGACTTATGGTAGCTAGTGGAGGCTACCAAGCCTCCAGCTAGGAAGCCCAGGATTTGCCCAAATTCACCTTGTCTGGCTGAAAACGATATGAATTTGGTAGACTTTTATCTCAGTGTGACAGCTGTCTGTCACCTAAAGTTTTGCCATTGGTCACAAGGGCTTAATAACAGTAGTGAGGCTCGAGAGGTTGCCCAAAGCTGTGGATGCCCCATCCTTGGAAGCGTTGTAGGCCATGTTGAGTGGGGCACTGGGCAGCCTGAGCTAGTGATGGTAACCCTGTTTACAACAGGGAGATTGAAACTATATGATTTTTGAGATCCCTTCCAACCCAAGTCAGTCTATGATTCTATGATTCAATGAACATGAGCCTACTGGGGCCATGGCTACCAGCCAAGAAGCTACAAAAACCATTTTCTCACATGCCTTTAACCTCCAAGGTCATGAAAGATAACTCATCCTCATCAGCTTGGGACACATCAGACATAGAAGCACAGAATCATAAAGGTAGGAAAAGGCCACTAAGATCACCTAGTTCAGTGATGGGGTCAAGTATCCTGATTCACATCCCCATCAATGTCCTGGCTCAAGGATCACATCCAGAGTAGCAAACAGGGCACAAGCCCAGCCTTATCCATACCATCAGACTATCAAAACAGTTTGGGCACACCTCAATCAGCAGCCCTCACATGAGACTGTTTCTTGCAAGCAATTTGGAGGTCACCACCCTGTTTGTAAAGGAAAGAGGCTGTGGATGTGAATCATCATTCTTGGATTCAGAGCCAAGGTGTATGTTGATGGTGAGACCTCTGTAGCCAGGAGGAGGGATACTGGAAGTCTGTAGGCTCTGAAGGAAAAGGACAATGGAAAGAATGATTGGGATGAAGAAGAGCTGGAAGGGAAAATAACCCTCTAAGGAGTTAATGCCAGTTCTCTCAAGGAGGACACCACTGGCTTCCACTGTGTTTGAAGAGACATTATTGTGGACAGGCTTATTGAAGCTACGCTTGTAACACAGCTCAGCTGATAATTCTGCCATTGCATTTCCCTGAATGTGGGATATCTGGAGGTCCCGCCCTCCTAAAATTCAAGATCCTAGAGTCACGTGGTGGTGCAGGGAACAGTCATTTGGAGCTTCTAGGGATATGTGAGAGAAACTCATCAGTGAAACAGCTGTGGTAGTAACTGGCCTTGTGAGAGCCTCCACAGGGACACCAGAAAGTCATGATGTACTTGTCCATTTACCTTCTGTCAGAAATATAATTTCCCTTATCTACCCATTATTAAGGCACCCAGCATGCCACACATCCCCTTCTTCCCCAGAAGGCAAGGAAACAGTCAGGCTTTGCAAAATTGTTCTCTCTTTTTTTTTTTTTTTTTTTTAATTTGCTTGACTCATCCAATGATTTGAGTGATGGTTCTTTCAGGGCTGGAAATATCTTCTGCTATGCAACGTGCAACCTGATAGCTAAAATTTCCATGGTTAGATGAGAGCTGAGAGTGAAATGAGAAAACTTTCTTTCTCCATCTGGGGGAAAGCTGTAATGAGCTCCATAGACAACCTGACTTCAATTCATTTGTTTTAGGAATTCTGGTTCTGATTTCTTGCAGGTGAGAACCCAACTAAGAGTGGAAAGTGAGA